TTACTAATATTCTTCTATAGATGACCACTTTAATTTTTAAAAACACAAGCCTAAAATTTCAAGTGATTTGGATTTATAGAAAAAAAAATTAAAATTCAAATACTACTGACATATGTGATCGTCATATCATCCTAGATTCAATCTGGGCCGTTGGCGCATTTAGCTTATTTACATGAGGCTGCTAACCATATTATATCAGCCCACTAGATGATGGAATAGTGTAAGCTCAGAAGCCATATTGAATCTAAGTAAATCTGATGGTCATGATTATAATTTATATTTAAATTGTAATATTTTATTTTTATAAATTCAAATCACTTGAAATTTGAAGTATTCATTCTTCTCATTAATGCCCCCGTAATAAAAATATTAAAAATTTTATTTGCAAAAAATTAATCAATAAAAATACCCTTGTAACTTTCAGAGAAATTTTAGTCAATTTATTTTTATAAAAAAAGTTAATATTTTTATTAGGTTCGCCTATTTTTCAAGAGTAGACATTAAAAATTTTAAGTGAATTAAATTCATAAAAAAACAAAATCAAATTTAAATTTGAAATGCAATCGTGACTATTAGATCATCTCATATTCAATTTGGGCCATTGGGTATTTATTATCAACTTGTAGGCTAACCTCAGACTCTCCCATATACATCATCACCATCCTCATAGAATTTTTCCAATTAATTGGGGTTGGTTTCATGAATTCTGATCGGCCATTGTGATCTATTTAAGGTCATACCCTCAGTAAGGTCATAAGTCCCCATATATTTTGTCACTACTTCCGGTCATTTCCTTTTAGGCCTACCCTTTGCTATTTTTAAGTATTCCACTTGAACTAATTTGTACATCCTGACAGTTGTTGTATTGGGTTTGCGCCACACATCGCCAACCCGCTTAAGTCTACTCTCCCTCATGTATCGCTTATGGTCCCACACCTAAAATTTTCTGAATGGACTCATTTCGAATTCTATCCTTTCTTGGCTTGACATGAATCCATTTCAACATCATCATCTTCGCTATTCTCATTGTATGGGTATATTGCTTTCTGTATGCCCAATATTACTCCCAATCGAGCAAAGTTGGTCTCACAGTTGTTCTATAGAACTTGTCATTTTGTTTCATTGATATGCAAAAATCACATAAAATTATGATTGCACATCTCCACTTCTCCCACCTAGCTCTAATTTTGTATACGACATCTTCCTCAATCTCTCGATTTTTTTGGATTATCGACCCATGACATCGAAAGTGTGGTATTTTTTGTATTTCTTAGTCATCAATCTTAAGTACTTCCTCGTCTCTATTCCTATTAGAGCAATGATCCTATGAGACCCGCCCACAGCCATGTGTGTAGGACCCCAAAGAATCACCATTAAATTTGGCATAGATCTCTATAAAAGTTATCACATGGGTGTGGGACTTGACTTTTCTAGAGAATTGTACCAAATTTAATGATGATCATTTGAGATCCTACACATATGGCTGTGGAAGGGTCTC